GCTCGGCTCCAGGGCTGTGCCCACGGGGGCTCCGCTGCCTTGGGCATCGTTCGCTCATATTTTAATGCGCTTTCACTTTAGGAATCGCCGAATCAGAAGTCGACTCCGCCGTGTGTCATAGAGTCATACGGTATTAGCGTTTTACCTTCGCACCTTAATGGTGCAGATAACCAGTGCGAGAGTCGAAAGTGACTTGCCCAAGGTCACGCAGGTGGGACCACGGAGGCGACCAGAGCCCAGGTCTTTAGGCTTCGAGGCCAGCCGCCAGCGGCCCCGCTCTGGGGCGGTCCTGAGTGGTTTGTGGTTTAGTTCGTAGGCTTTCTATTGACTCCTGGATAGACCATCAGAGGGGAAAGTGTCATAATGAGAGCGGTCTTGTTATTTATGGTGTTCACTGCCTTTGGAAGAATTCGACTTATCTTGTGCTGCAAAGCACAGCATCCAGCGTCTGCTGGGCACATAAATAATGAAACTCGATTGCTGTGTTTGGGGGCTGCTGGTCCAGGAGGAGGTTTTAAGGGAGAAATATACAGGCAATTTGTGCTACTTTCCTCTTGTTTTCTTCGAATCCTGTAGTACTTGTTTTGTTATTTTTCGACTGATCATTGTCTTAATAAGATTTTCTTTGCTTTAATGAAGTCATTGCCCTTTGCGAATTAGTTTTCTAACTAGAAAATCTTATTTCCTGTGTGTTTAATGACTGGAACAAATAGCGCAGTGTGAGGTTTAAAGCATTGTCTTTTATCTTAGAACTACTGATCAGTTTGCTTTATTTCCCCCACGGACTCAGCTTACATACTTTCTATGTTAGTTTAATGCCATCGAAACACTTGACGGCAAAATCTGGGTAAGCTTTATATGAGTCAGAGAAAAACTGAAAAAATCATTTTGTAAAACGACATTTTCCTTCACCATGCGAAGAACTTGAACTGTTATTTTGTATTGAACCGGCCTCATATCTTGTGCAGCAGTACGATTCATTCTTACTGAAATGCCTATTACTTTGCACACTCAGGTTTTCATATGAACACACTTGAGGCAAAAAAATATTTCCCCTAATGGAGTTCATTTACTACTCCTTATGCTGGCAAAATCTTCCCAAGGGAAGTGACATTTTAGAATACTTATGGTTTTAAACAGGTGTATTTAAGCTTAGCAGATTTTGAGGTAATAGTTAATTTATTTTATAGTGCTATAAACCTTACAGTGCCTCCATTGACAGGTTTCTCTTGGAGAGAGAATTTGTCCTTTGTGGTAAGCAGCGATTAACTTTTTGAGATTAAGAAGATGTGATTTTTGTATTGAACCGGCCTCATGTCTTACTTTTTCTAGTTAATTAGTATTTTTCTTGTTGCTTTGCGGGGAAGTAGCAGGTTTTTATTTTTCAGTTTTAGTGATGTAACAGAATAGGAAAGAGGTGGTGTGTAAATTTGAGTTGGTCATCGGCTAGGAGAGACAGTAAAACAGGATAAGTATACAATTGTTAGGAAATGGCCGTGAGTTCATAAGCCGGAAGGACCTTTTTAGAAGTGTTTAAAGACTTTAAGAATAGCATTCGGTTATTTTGTTTAAAAAGTCACTGTGGCAATTCTCTCATGTTGTTAACGTATCGGATATGATATGGAAGACTCCTGGGAAAAGACTTGGGAAAGATGGAAACATTTTATAATTTTATAGGGACTTTTTCTCTAAAAACATTTAATGTAGCTCTAAGAAAATGACTTTTACTTAATCCTAAATTCCTATAGTCATACTGTAACACTCACAGTTATTTTGACTCTGGTAGTTTGTAATCCAGGATGAGATCTATGAAGTAATTTATTAGCATAATGTAAGTCAGATTCTGAAGTTAAAATATTGCTTGATGTTAAATAGCTGTCATTTAAGAATGGGGAAGATAAATAGTTTTCATAACTGTCATTTAAGAATGGGGAAGATAAATAGTTTTCAGAATAGAATGTAGTAATTATTCAGATGTGACAGTAGTTACACTCTGCTTTTATTCGAAAAGTTCAAGTAGCTGTGAGCTGAGGTAATAAAATACTACTTTTCATATGTTTGACCATTTGGCAATATTAAAATTTGATATTAACTTTAAGGATGATT